AACCATGCATAATGTGTTAAATGGGACTGTATACTTGAGCTAGGTTTTTCCACCAATGAAAACAAAGCTAATGTGTTTTATTTTCACTTCAACAGCAGCTCAGAAGGTCGTCCATTCCGACTAGGAACTGGAGCCAATATGGAGAAAGTGGTGAAAATGGATCGAGACATGACAAAAGTAAGAAAAGGAATCACTAAAGAATTATTTAACATCATAAAAGTCAGAGGCCAGTCAGGAATCTTGTTTTTTACTGCCATTAAAATGCCCTGTGTTAAACGTTTAATTTACAGAACTGTTCAGAAAGATAACTTTATATGTAATATTTACCTTACATAGTTATTGATGTAAATAAAGGGGTAGATGGTGAAAAGAATTTCAGCTACTGCTTTCTCCAGCCATTTTAGGTCATGTTTAAGCTCTTTAATGTTCTTTCCTGAACTGTTTAATGCACATTCATAGTATGAATTTTAAACCACATATTTAAATTAAATTTTCCATGTATGTTCTCAGACATGTTTTTGAGTATTTGCACCAGAAATACTCGTGTGGCTTTTTGATCAGAGAAGGGGAACTATACTCTTTAAGAATAAAATATTAAAGGTGATGAATCCACATTGATCTCCAATCTCTTTGTAGATGAGAAAAAGCAACAGAAAGAATTTCTTATGACTGTGACTAATAGATACCCAGGAGGGTGTTTTGATGTGTTCTCAGTACTTTGACATACTCTGAGAGAGAGGAGGTAAATGCATCATGTAGTGGGGCCAAATAGAGCTAACATTAATTTTTGTCTTCCATGGCAATTTTCTTGCCAGAGTGGCTGCTGTGAAGTTATTACAGAAGAAGCTGCTGCAGCTCTTCGAAAAGCTACTAAATGGGCACAGTCTGGCCTCATAGTTAGTGTTGGGCCACCCATAGAAACTGTCAATCCAGAAACTACTAGTGGGTTGTCTACTGGGGACAAAAAGAAGACAGCACAAACATCTATTTGCCGAGAGAGGAATTCAGAGCTTGCCAGGTAGGTTGCTCCAATTCTATACTTAGAGTCTGGATTCTGCTTTTCTTCTGTACCAGTATTTGTAGTGCTCCAGAAAATAATCTGAGTATTCATAAACTTCCCTTTTTTTGTGCTGTATATTGTTGCTGATGACTGAAACTTCCTTTCCTTCTCTTGTTTTGAAGTTAATGGGCAAATTGCTTTCTTCTTCTGTGCAGGACGGATCCTGTGAGACCATTCATTAGTGGTCATGTTGCAAACAGCATGGCAGCAGAGGTGATTGCTTTGCTACACAGCTTGTTGATGGCACCAGAATCAAATGCAGCTCAGATCTGGACAACAACTGCTGAAAAAGTAAGCAAACAGAAGCTGAAATATCAACACAATATACCCCAAGCATGTATTCAGTGCTTGAGAACTTAATTATTGGCAATTTCCTAAGCTACTCCTTTCTGATTTACTAATTATACCAGTTCAAACTGGGCTGTGTAGCTGCAAAGAAGCAACACTTTCTAGTAGATGGTATCTATCTGATGTTTTAGGGATGAATAATCAAAAATTATCCAGCATTAATTAGTGAATGTGGTGTCCTTCTGTAATTCACGTGGCATTCTTTCCAGGGATTAATAAAGGTATTTGTTTAGGGAGTTGTCTTGCCTTTGCTGGGTGGTTGTTCCACCATTGCTACCCAGTTGTCTCTGCCATGCCCTCTGAGGGTCTGAAGCATTGGCTGGAAGCACAGCACACTGCTTGTATGTTCCTCTGAATCCTGCAGCACTTTGCCTGTTGCTTAGGCTAAATCCTTGAGCAAAGACTATTGTTAAGATTATAAAGTAACTCTGCGATTCTAAAAGTTATTGGGGAACAGAGCCAGCTTTGATGGTGTTCACACTTCAGAGAATTTAGAATGTTCCAAGTTATGTAATTCTCTTTAAGAACAAAAATAATTCTTCTGAGACTGTGTGGGCTGGAGGCTTGGGGCGTTGGTTTTTGTTTGAATTGGGCTTTGAAGTCGTTCTCTGGTATTTTTCCTTCTGTCTTCAGGTTCTGTCTCGGGCTCTGATGTACATCCCACAACTTGGGAAATATGCAGAGAGTATTTTGGAGAATGGCAGTAGCAGTGGAAGGAAACTGGCTAAACTTCAAAGAATCGCTCGGCAGGCAGTAGCTGCCCTGTGTGCTCTGGGTGGCTTTAAGGAGACAATTAAAATAGGTTCTGAAGTTCAGGTAATTCAGCACCGTTCACATTTTGTATCTTTAAATGAGAATTGATGCTTTTGACCACGTTCTGCCAGCACTGGCCCACTTGTGAAGCAGTGTGCAGGTAGCCTGTGGTGGTGAAGCAGTGGCAGCAGCACTTGTGGAGGCTGCTGTCGTGTGATATTCCTCTCCCCTGAAATATCTAGCTCTAATTGTGAGCTGAGCTGCTGGGTGGTGTTAAACACTCAATGTTTCTTGTTTGTAAAGCCTTCAGCCTCACACAGGCCTTCTTTGGTTGTAGGTTTTAGGTAAAGGAATAGCAGGAAGCATTGGAATTGTGGCATCTATTAATGAACAAGAAGGTATAGCAACGGTCAAATTTCCACCTACCAGTATAGACGGTAGAAAGACCTCACAAGCATCAGACACATTAACTATTCCATTATCTAGGCTCTGTGTTCCAAGATCTGAGGTATGGTAGTTTTAAGAATCTAATCCTAAGTACAGTATCAATTATTTAATTATTTTTTTTTTTTTGGTCACAGCATACTGGCAATTGATCTGCAGCATGTAAAAAAGTCTGTTTCATCTTTGATTCGAGATTATTTGTAGTTTGCCTCATTCTTTTAAACATTATCTTAACAATATATATATTTATATATTTGTGTTCTCATTGAAGTAACTTGGCTATTCATCTTTTGGTGCTTAAAGATGTTCCATTGCATACTGTGTTGGTTTTTTTTTTTTTGGTTATGTTTTTGTTTCTTCTCTTTTTTTTTTTGACTGGTGTTTGGTGCTGGGTTTGTGATAGTACAAAATGAAGAATTAACTCCAGGTAATTAAACGCCCTCGTTTCTTAGAAACTAACTGCTTGAATTTAACTTTTTACCGTGCCCCCCCACCATCAGGCATTGCCTCTTCATAAACTGTCCATTACTGAGAAGGTAGTACAGGCAGTCCAGTCCATGTTGCTCCCTCAGGAGGGAAGTCTATCTATTCACACCTCACTTCCTGCAACAGGAGATGGCTCAACTCCAGTAATGGCAGTGGTCCGACTTCTTGCTGAAATAAGAACCAGGTGAGCCCTTGGGTTTTGTGCAGCACTCTTCTGATACTGTATGCAAATGCTGAAGAGAATTGCATGTGTTGTTGTTTTCTTCTCTCTGGGTATTGACATATGACAGCAGGGGACAATGCTGAAAACCTTTTTTGCTTCCTTAAGAATATTTAGTGTCTGGATGATGTTAAAATTAGCACCAGAAATAAACTCTCCCCTGTAATGTTGGCAATGCACTGAGCTTCCTATAAGTAGATGCTGTGAAGCAAGGGGAAGCTGGCATTGTGGAAGTTCCAAGGCATAGCTAAGCAACCTGAAAAAGAAATGGATCCGTTGGCGTGCTGGCTTTTAAAATCATCTTGAATTCAATACATGTAAAGACAACTTTGAATTCAGTGTACACTTTGTAATGCTTGAAACGTATTCTCTTTCCATTAAGAGCATGCCTGGTGATGGCTCAGCTGTTAGAAGACAGCTCATTCTGTGAAGAATTCATTCAACAGTGTCCAGCTGCTGTAGAAGTCCTTAATCTGGTAGCACAGGAGTGCAGCCCTGGTAGGTATTTATTCAACATGTTCCTGCTGCTTCTTTGTCACGTTCAGTTCAGAGACATAACAGCTTTTAAACTCATTTTGGTCTTCTGTCCTCCAGCTACTTTGAGTTTGATAGCTAGCACAGTACAGCATGTTTTGTTGTAGCTGCAGAGCTGTTAATGTTAAGAGTAACTACAAATCAGACTAAATCAGTTTAACCATCAGGCATGAAGTTTAGGCCAGAACACAATTATCCTGTGCCTCACAGAAGATGCAAGTCCTGGGACTAGTTTTCTGCTACTGTGCTTCTGAACCCTCTCCACTTGTCTTGCTTCCAGTGTAACCTGCTCTGTATTCCTTGACATTATCATTTATATGTTTTTATGATGATTTTGCTGGGTTTTACAATATTTTATTATATTCCTTAGTATTCAGCTTTTGATTTCTCCTTCCCTCTTGTTTAAGGATAAGCAGTGGGCTCAGCAGAAGTCTTAGTTGAAGGGCACATTTTAGGAACACATTAGAGCCTTTCACTGGATGAAAAGTGACTGAAGTGAAGGAGGTTAGGGTAGAAACCAAGAGGATTTCAGTGTCATCTCTAGTGTAAAAGGGAGCAGACTGATTTTTTGACAGTAGACATAAATTCCTTTGACTTCCTGCTTTTGCTGGGTCATAAACTTCCTCACTAAAGTGAACTTTATATCTTGATTACACAACAATGTCTTTGCTAACCAGATAAAAATGAAACATGAGGAAGGGAATTGCTTGTATGCCTTAGATTTTTGTCCTTAATTTCGTTGATAGGTAAGTAAGGCTATTTGATCAGATCTCTTCAAATGCAAATGTCATATTTGTTTCTATTTACTGGTATGAAGATGGCATTTTTTTGACTTGAGGGGCTTTGCTTGAGAGCTGATGACTTGATTTGGTTTGTGTTACAGGGGAGAGGCTCCTGGTTGTAGAAATGCAGTGTGAAAGGTTACGGATGTTGTACCGTGACTGCGCTCGGCCTCCTCCTCCTCCCCTCCAAGCAGACAGAAGACAGGTGAGCACAGAAACAGTGCTGAGGCTTCTGCCCTTTGCAAATGAAGATAGCCACTGAGTGTGGAGGGTCTGCCTGGGGGGTTTGAGCCATACTGGTTGGATTCTTAATTAAACATTTCACTTAGTATGAATTTCTGTGATGGGATGTGGTTTGTTGTGATTGTATTATAGGAGTTGCATGTGTATTAAATGGGCATTCATAACAGAATGTGTTGTTGGATTTCAGTAGTGACTGACTGTAACTGGTAGAACAAAATGCTCTGTTCCTCTTTGCAGCCCAAAGAAATCACATGGAGCCCATCAAGAGTGTTTCCCCCTGTCCGAGCATGCATGTTCTCATCACACCTCACTGCTGTGACCTTTTTGGCTGATCCTAGTGCAGGTGGGGGACTGCCCCGGGGCACCTTTATCTATGCCACTTCACCAGTTCCAGTACAGGTGAGAACTCACAACTGTACAGCAGCTTGTGTTATTTAACACTCAGTAGTGTGTGAAAAGAAAAAGAAAATTTTCTAGTTTACGTTTTGTAAATATTTTTTTTCCAAATTATTTTTATTTCTAGGCACCATCATTCTACTGGGAAATTGAAATAGTTTCCTATGGGGATACAGATGATGACACTGGACCAATAGTTTCATTTGGGTTTGCTACAGAAGCTGAGAAACGAGATGGTGCTTGGACCAACCCAGTGGGCACCTGTCTCTTTCACAAGTACGTGGGAGAAGTATATAAACAAATCCTGGCATTGCTCAGTACATTCCTACACTACCTCAGGAGGAGTATTGTCAGCACATCATAGTAGGCAACATGTATGTTTTAATTGGAATGTTAAAATGATTGTAGAATCATAGTCATCTTGGTTGGATAAGAGGTTTAAGATTGAGTCCAACCATCCCCCAGCACTGCCAGGTCCCCACTGCCCCGTGTCCCTCACACCACATCTCCATGGTTTGGAAACCCCTCCAGGGGTGGGGACTCCACCACTGCCCTGGGCAGCCTGGCACAGCCCTGGGCAACCCTCAAGGGGAAGACGTTGCTCCCAATACCCAACCCACACCTTTTCTGGTGCAACTTCCATTTCCTCTTGTCCTGTCAGTTGTTCCCTGGGAGAAGAGACAGGCCCCCCACCTGGCTTCCACCTCCTTTCAGAGAGTTGTCAAGAGCCAGAAGGTCTCCCCTGAGCCTTATCAAAATAAAAGAGATTGTCTTGCCTGTTTGTCAGTGTCACAGCTCCCTAAATTGTAATCCTAATTTGTTTCAGTGCTCTTTTTAATTTGCTTTTTGTGTCACTCCTCAGCAATGGGCGAGCAGTGCATTACAATGGCTCCAGCCTGCTGCAGTGGAAGAGTGTTAGGCTGGATGTGACTCTTTCTCCTGGTATGTAAGAGTACAGCTAACTTGCTTATCTGGTAAATCAGAAAATCCCCTGAATGTAATGGAAACAGTGGATGAGAAAACAGATTCAATCCATGTTCTTTTGATTATATTTTTCTACAGGTGATGTAGCAGGAATTGGATGGGAAAGAACAGAAGGAACTCCACCCCCTCCAGGGCAGCCTGCTAAAGGCAGAGTTTATTTTACATATTGTGGGCAGCGACTTGGGCCATATCTAGAAGATGTCTCTGGTGGAATGTGGCCAGTTGTCCACATTCAGAAAAAGGCAAGATTTTTTTAATAGAAATACATTGCTCAATATACTTGCAGAGAATGAAAATATTATATAGAAATTATTGTGCCTGTTCAGCTATAAAAAAGTAGTGATAGTTTTTAGCTTTACTGAGTTAGGTTGAGGTATTCCATTACCCTTCCCAAGTACCTGTGTGTTTTGTCATTATTGTGACATTTTCCTGCCCATTAGGACACTAATGTGCAGCTGACTTGATGAGATGCCATTATTCTGTGCTAGTAGCCCTTCTATTAGTATTCCTTCCCTGCAGTGACCTTGCTTCAAAGTATACTGGCTAAATATGCTGTATCTTGAAGCTAGAAAAAAAGACAAGCTCCAAGTTTGTGTTTAGATGCCGCTTATTTCCCCTGCTGCCTCCAGTTTTGCAGCTGCCAGTGCTGGGAAAACCGTGTGGCACAGAGATGTGCCCAGCTTATCCCTTTGGCTGAGGTTCTTCCAGAAAGAGCAGAAGGATCAAAAACCACCCCCAGCTCACCTTAATGCTTTTGTGTGCATCTTCTTCCAGAACACCAAAGTCCGTGCTAACTTTGGAGCTCGCCAGTTTGCCTATGCTGAGGGCCAGGCTCACAGGAACGCTGCTGACCTGTGCATTGACCTCGCCGAAGAAATCAGTGCCAACTTTGAAGCCTTGCCCTTTGCCATGGCCTCTGATAGTGACAATGATGCTGGCACCAGCATAGCTTCTGACCCTGGCACCCACGGACCTCCGTGCCGCATTGCTGCCGTCGCTACGGCCCAGCAACGTAACGTGATGATTAACGGGGCTTTGTAATTGCTTTGGGAGAAATTAAAATCGATTAAATAGGATTTAAACACATCCTGGGACAGTCCCTAGGGACTGGCTGTGTAGGTGAAGCAGTAAAAGCGTTGTCAAATATCTGCTGCTTTGATTTCAGACAAGGCAATTAAAGAGAGTCTTGCTTTATAGGGAGGCACAAATTATTCTCAATTAATGCAACTACAATGAGAAATGAGCTCGTTAAGGCTTTGGATACAATAAGATGTGCTATTTGATTGAATCAGCCAATTGGTTGTGTTATGTCAATACCTGTTAGGCTTCCACAGGCTGACTGGAGGCTGTGGAATGGCATGTAGCTCAAAAAACCTCATGGAATACCTTTGTGTGCCTTCTAGTACGTTATGATCTCATTATTGCCCTCTGTGTTTTGCAGAGTATGACAGTGACACATCTTGCCACTATAAAATGGAACTGAGCTATGAGAACTTCATCACATCAGGCCCTGATCCTCATCCTCCTCCTATTGCAGATGATGAAAGTGATGATGATGATGACGATGATATTCCCCGGGTGAGGAACATGACACCATTTTCTTGCTATAACCTGTAGTCTAAATACAGATCTTGTAATCAGAGCTTTAAGTTTTGCCACGTGAGGGTTTTCCCTGCTTCCTTAAGGAAATCTATCTGTTTTTCCTTTCTTCTTGGTGCTCTAAATGATTTCTCTTTATAGGAGGATCACTACGCCCTGCTGGTTAAAGCCTGGGAAACTAAAGTTTTACCTACAATTAGAAGAAGATTTCGTAATGAGGCTGAGAGGAAGTCTGGGCTGGATCAGATTAAAGGAGCTCTACAGTTAGGTATGCCTGTGTTCATTTCCATGCACGTTGCTTTATATGATGTCCAGGAAGTGCAAAGATAACACCTCTTTCTTTTATGTTTTACTGCAGAGCTGGAAAATTTAAATTTAAAAAAAAAAACCCACTTGCTGTTTTTATCAAGGGCTTAGAATTTGGTTTGGGGTCATGATTTTTCTTTAATGCTTTTACTTAACTTGCACAGTTTAAGTAGGGCAAGTGGCTTTAGAAATAGCAGCAGGATTTGTGGTGCTGTTGCAATGTGGATACAGCAATACTTTGGGCTAAATGTTTGGGAGGAGATTTTCTGCATGCATTTTCTGTCTATGACTATATCAATGCAAAACTTTTGAGGAACACTTTAATAAGGGGAGGATTTGTAAGTGAATACAGTTCTGGTAAGATGACCTCTTTGTGGGAGAGTCACAGTAAGAGCCAAATAGGAATTCTGAGCCCTAATGAGAAGCATGCAGGTGTCTCTCAGGAAGACTCCTCTCCCTGTGTGTCAGTTTGACTGAAAGAATGCTTAAGTAATTAGGTAGCTCATCTGTTTATAATGTAATGAGAATAAGAACTTCAAGTGGCTGGGGAAAAATAACTAGCCCTCCTTTCTGTCTACCAGGAATGGTTGACATAGCACGACAAACTGTGGAATTCCTTTATGAGGAAAATGGTGGCATCCCAAGAGACCTTTACCTTCCTACTATCGAGGATATCAAAGATGAAGCAAACAAATTTACAATCGATAAAGTACGAAAAGGTAAGGTCAGCAAAAACATAATTTAAGGGGAAAATAAAAGCTAAAGGGCTCTGGTACATGGGATCTACTGCTTAGATTGCCAATCCAAGGAAAATGCTGGACCTTAAAAATGGTGTTGTCCCTTTCTGACCAGGTCTCACAGTGGTGACTCGTTCTCCTGACAGCAACAACGTCACCAGCAGTGCTGTTGGAACAGCTTTACCCAAGTTTGCTATTCGTGGCATGCTGAAGACATTTGGTCTTCATGGTGTTGTTTTGGATGTTGATTCTGTGAGTAGAGATACATTGGGAGGGTTTTCAGTGTATCAGCATCACACTTCTGTCAGCAAATATGATTAAGTGTATTAAACAGCTCAGAATGCTGAAGTGGTGCTTTTTTTTGGGGGGGGGGTAAATATTATTTCTTGACAGTGTTGGTCTCTGTGTTCCAGGTAAATGAATTGGTACAAGTGGAGACCTATCTCCGGAGTGAAGGAGTTCTGGTGAGATACTGGTACCCTATTGACATGTTAGAGAGGCCACCTGCTGGTTACAGGAGGACTGCAACCAATGGATTGGTTACCCTGGATAACACCAACATCCAGATTCACAGGTAAACAAGAAGTGTCATTAAAAGGCATTTGTATTACCTGATGTTATCTGTAGAATCTCCTATAGTACAGTTTTCTACTGCAGCCTTATTTTGAGCAGTAGTAAACTTCTGAACCTGTGTTGTTGGATTAAAGCTGGAAAAGATTCATTAAATCTTCATGCTTTATTAATGGGCTTTTAGATTTTTTGGTTTTAATTGGATAATAAAGAAAATGTATTATAATTGTCTTGTTAGAAGGATTTTCCTTACTCATGTGAAAATGGTTTCTTACATGCTTCTCTAACAGGTACTTTCCTTGGAGCTCAGGTTTCTACCATCAGTCAGTTGCTATCTAAAAGCCCCAGAACTCTTGATGACTTTGTGGCTTCTAATTCAGGTGCCTTAATTTGGTACCGGAGTTAGATGTGCTGAGTGCTCTCTTAAGTGAATAAGAAAGACTTGGATCTACTTGAACCTTTTAAATAATTGGCTGTCTGTTTGGATCCAGGTGCAGGTTGCTGGGTATGGCTCACGGGAAGCATGCTGAGGCAGTTTTATGTTCTGATGTTTGTTTTGCAGAGAGCTCCTGCGAAGCGAAGCTGCTCTGGCCAAGCTCTACTGCCGCATGGCTCTCCTCAATATTTTTGCCCCCAAATCCCCACACATGTTTACTCGACTGTTCCATATTCCTGCCATCCGTGATATCACCCTGGAGCACCTGCAGTTGCTCTCCAACCAACTTCTGGCACCACCTCTTCCAGGTCCATACTAATTTTTTATCACAGTTCTTTTTTTGGTACAATAGTTTTCTGAGGGGAAAAAAGAATTAGTTGTTAATGATGGGATTTGAAAAAAAGTCTCAGTGGATTCCTGACCTTAGTGATAGGGTGAAAATCTGGCTGATGATCTAAGTGTTCAAGAGTTCAGAGTCTCTCCTAAGCCTCCACTCAGTGTGCTGCTGCCCCTTTGTCATTGGTGGTCTTCTTCTTATTGGGGGGCGGGGGGAGTATCCATATGGGATACTTGTAAGGAATTTTACAGTTTGAATCCAGGGTACTAAAACTAAATGCCAGTTGGGTCTCAGTTTTCAAAATTCAATTCTTCTTCATTTCACAAAGTGGTTTGTCCTTTTCCTACTGGAATCACAGATCTGGTTAGAGAATGTATGTGCTGAATCATGGAAAAGGATCTTGGGCTAATTCAAGTGAGTGTTAACTAAGACAATGATTGTGACAAAGCTCTTCTGCATGCAAAGAAATGTGTGTAACGTGGCTGGAGCATAAGGAGGAAGTAGGAAGTGCTAAATATAGGCTATTAATAATTGAAAGTAATTATTGACTATTGGAAAGAGTCCTGTTCACTCCTCCAGCTACTTTGGAACTTGGCTACCTCTAACTGATGCCGCATTGTAAAAGACCCTCTTGCAGAGTACAGCACTACTTTGCATGGCTTTGAGAATAATTTTACAAGCTTTTCTTTAGTTTTTCCTTTTTAAAATATGTCTAATTCAAGTCCTGCTAATAGATACAATTTCCAACCTGACGTTCTGGTGAATTGCCCACTCCTTTGTGCACTGTACTTTGTTTTTCTTCAGCCTCTCCCATTAGCTCCAGAATAACAGCCATGAGGTGCTGGGGCTTGTGATCCACTTGGGGCCTCCCAAAAGCTGTCTTGTTCATGAATGGGGCAAGCCTGAGGACAGATAAAGCTGCTTCACCTCATCTAGGATGAGTGGGGAGAACAACTTCTTGTCACTTGTCCTTGTCATACTTCTGCAATAAACTGAGAGATGCCTTCAAACCTGAGACAAAGTGAACTGCTCTGAACCCACAGCTGGGTGTGTGTCTGGCAGAGCTCCCTAAGGGCTGGCTTAAGGCAGGTGAAGAACACAGCTGGCATTTAGAGGCCATCCCATCTGCAACCAACCATGTCAGGGGTGCAAGTCTGGTCTTGGGTGGGTCCCTTCTACTGCTGACCTTTTGGGGAGGAGGTTTGCACTTGCTCAGGGGTGAAGACAGAGGCTTGTAATCTTCCAAGTGTTTTAAAACTTCCACTGTCTGTGTCACAGGCTGTATAAACACGTTGAAGCGACCTCCAAATTGTCACATCTTATTTGTCATTACAGATGGAACAATCAGTTCAAGTTCTATCCTTTTGGCCCAGTCCCTGCAACACTGTGTCCATTCCCAGAACTGTGCTGCCACAGATCTCTTCTACCAGGGCAACTCCCAAGCCATCAGGGAGTGGCTTACTGTTGCCATTACTAGGACACTACATCAAGGAGAGGAGAGTCTGTTAGACCTCACTAAACAGATCTGCTCCTTTTTGCAGGTAAAATATTCAATAATGTTTTCTGAGCAGTCTTGGTTTTCTTTCTAAGAGGCCCTTGCATTATGTGTGATCCTAACTTCTATAGTGGTGTCCCTCACACTGAATTGTTTCCCTGGATGGATTGCATTTGTATTCTGAGCATAGTGGGCACTCTGCAATACTCTGGATCATATTAAACTGGAGTGGCCTCACACTGTGTCATTATTTACAATGCTCTATTTTATTGAAAAAAAAAAGACAGGTAGTTTACTGCTGCTGTTTTGGGGCTTTCATTATGAAATGTTACCTTACAGACAGCACCATCCTGCTGAAGAATTCCCAATTTCTGAATCCAAAGTCAATATGGATGTTAATTTTCCTGGGGCTGCATTTGTAATTGTGTCCTGCAAGGAAAGTCAGTCTGGATTCCGCAAAGAGTGAGTAATTGAGGGACCCAGAGTGGCAAAGGTCAAAGATGTGCCTCTGAGCCTCTGTCAGCCCTCACTATGTGGGTGCTCTTTTTATTTTTAGATTTTTCTCTCCTCAGAGACTCATCTTCTGGGTGGTGGGTTAAATACTGCAGAGTGTTTCATTCTTCTGGGGTCGCATTGGGATTTTTAGTAGCTAGTTGCAGTCTAACTGAACTATTCTTGATCCTTTTGTAGTTCATCCCTGTATAAAGCTCCTTGGGCTCGAGTGCTTGTCTATGGGCTTGGGCATAAAGTGAAGAGGAATGGTCAGTTGAACCTCATTGAAGCAGTGTGCTATCCTCGGGATGCCTCTCCAACCAACACAGGCCTCACACCTCCCCCAACCACCAACCAGTACCCTTCAGTGATCACCCCCACAGACAAGGTCCACATCAAGCTAGGTAAAAAAAGAGACAATAAAAAACCCTTTATAACTGTAGTCTCAGAAGTGAGACAAGCATCTGGAGGACCTTCCTATATTGTCACTCATCCTACCATCTGTTGTGACAGTATTTTTGTACAAGAGGTGTCCCAGCAGAAATATGCTATAATTTTTAACCAAGAAAACATGGTTTTATAAATGTTGGAAGCAGGCTGACTCTGATTTTGTTAGTTCTGTTAGATCTCTTCAGATCTGCTCTCTTTTTTTCCTGATTTTTGTGTTCCAGGAGTTCACAAAGCAGTGGTTTTGAATATTTCTGCAGTGTTCAAGTTGATGCTGTTGCTGTTCGAGCTGCTGTCTTGCAGATGGAGATTAGTTTTTTTCTTTTTCTTCTGTAGGTGACTGTAGGGCCCTTTAATACACAGAGTAATATATATGCAGTATATTAGCACATAGGTCATCCCAGCTTCTCAAGCAAGAGTGATCATTAATATTCTTTTTACTCTTCCAGCCTGAGGGAAAGACAGAGTGATTTATTTAGAGCAGTGAAGGTGACTGAGTGCAGTAAGCTCTTAAAACTTTCCACTGGAGGTCATTAAGTTCTTTCACTGAACTACAGCATCTCTGTTTTTCTCAATACTGATTGGAACCATCATACTACCTATAACTGGTTTGGTGAAAGCCCTGGATGTATTTAGATATGTACAGGCTAAAGAGTTCCATTTCATAGGTCATGTAGACAAAAATGTTAATCTGTACATTTATAATTATAGATTATATCAACTTGTCATTATAGGTAAACACTCCTATTTGTTTATTACAAGGTCATTAATAGAGAAAATTCTCAACATAAATTTAGCCTCAAAAAAAAACCCTAAAAGATATGTTAATACTTCTGCTTTGCAAATGCCTAGAGTCATGAGAAGCATTTTCTTTGATCTTTTTGCTTAGGAGTATCTCCTCCTCCTGGAGCTGTGTTGGTCTTGCATTCCCTTCCCCTTGAATTCCCCCTGGCAATGGCATTCACAGAACAGCTATTAACTTGGAAATTGGAAGATGGGGATGGAAAATCAGAAGACGAACTGGATACTATTCCTGCTTCAGTTCTCTTGCAAGTAGTGGAATTTTTAGGTGAGAATGCACTAATTCCTTAGTAATGAGCATCAATCATGTGCTGGCTCAGATGGCGACTCTAGGAAGAAAAGAAAAATTAGTCATAAAGTATTTCTGAGCTCTTCCATTGTAATTTTATAAACTGTCATATTTAAAACCTAGACATTTTCCATTGATATGCACTTCTTGGGATGGCCTTTCTGTCTTACTGCTGACATACAGCCATTTGAATAACCTTTTCTTGTCCTTTTTTTTCAATGTTACTCATGTTGTCAAGCTGCAAACAGTGAATACTGACTCCCCTCTCTTGCCTTCCACACCCAGGGAACTTCCTCTGGACCACAGACATGGCTGCGTGCGTGAAGGAATTAATATTTCATCTCTTGGCTGAGCTGCTTCGTAAAATTCACAACCTGGAGCAGAAAAAAAATCCAGCAGGACTCTCATCTTCCATTGCCCTTCAGCTCAATCCCTGTCTAGCTATGCTTATGGCCCTGCAGTCAGAACTCCACAAGCTGTATGATGAAGAAACACAAAACTGGGTGTCTGGGAACGCGTGTGGTGGTTCTGGGGTTGGAGCGGCCGACCAAGGGAGATTCTCAACATACTTCCATGCTCTGATGGAAGTCTGCCTTGCTGTAGCAGAAGTAACCTTACCTATCAATATGAGTGTAACAGCTAATGTGATGTCTTCAACAAGTGCTCCAAATCTTAGTGACTCTTCCTCCTCATCCTCGTCTTCTCCAGGACAGACGCCGCAGAGTCCAAGCTTGCTGTCAAAGAGGAAAAAAGTCAAAATGAAGCGGGAGAAGACATCATCCTCAGGCAAGAGGTCCTCATCCAGAGCAGCTGAAACAGACACAGCCATCCTCAGCATAGGAGGAAGCAAGCCTGAGGATATGCTGTGGTTCCACAGAGCGCTGACGCTGCTCATCATTCTCAGACACCTGACTAGGAAGGATCCACAGGGGCTGGGGGTGACAAACGATGCTGTAGCAGATGCATGCCAAGCTCTGGTGGGTCCCACGGCTCACAGCCGCTTGCTGGTCATCTCTGGAATCCCAACCCACCTGGAGGAGAGCACCGTCCGGAGCGCCATCAGGAAGGCTTGTAACGCGCACGGCGGAGTCTTCAAAGACGAGATCTACATCCCTCTGCAGGAAGAGGATCCCAAAAAAACCAAGGACAAAGCAGAAGGAGGAGAATGCAGAACAGAGCTGGAGAAGCCGATGGTTTCGAGCAGCGCCGACAGCCTGGACGTGAGCAGCTCCAGCAGTGTCACCCCAGCCATGAGCGTCAGCGCCTCGGCCTCCACCAGCCAGGCCTCCCTCTGCAGCTCCCAGGGCATCTCCCGCACCGTCAGCGACATCTCCGTGGACCAGTTTCAAGCTGGGCTGGAACTGGCCATCCCCCCGGGGCTGCTGGAACCCCACGTGGTGTCCAGCCAGGAGAGCCTGGACCTCTCTCACTGCAGCACCGGGAGCCTCGGCAGCCCGGGGAGCCGCTGGACAACGTGGAGACGGCGTCCGTGTCGGACGTGGGCTCCATGTACACGGTCACCTCTCTGGACAACCAGCCCCTCCTGGCACGGCCCATCAAAGGTTTTGCTGTAGTGGAGGTAACAGCTTTCATCAGGAAGGGGGGTGTCTTTCGGGGCAGTTTTTTTCTGGATGATAGTGATCTGATTTTAGTAACTTTTAAAACCTCTGGCTTGGAGAAATACTCTCGTTTTTGTGGTTTGTTCTCTTCTGTAAAGACTCTTCTGCTTGACTGAGGCCACAGTTTGAAGGATGGAGAGTGAAGGGCACTGTTAGCAAGGTGCAGCTCAGCATAGGTGATGGGTGCAGAATGAATGCGTGCCAGTGTGCACACAAGATGTAGGGGACTAGGAGATCTCAGCTTGGGCAGGGTGGCTGAGGGGCACAGAACATTCTCCATTGACTTTCTCTGTACTATTCATAGTCTTAGAAGCATTCACCATCCCTCAAAAGATAGAGGGGACCTGGTAGTGGAGTTATCAAGCAGCAGTTTTAACACAGAAGGAAGTACTCTTGCACATTCCAAGTTGGAGAGCTCACTGCAGCAAGGTGTTGTGGAAGCAGAGAGTATAAATGAGTTCCTGCAGGATTACATTCATGGAGGATGTGCAAATTGGCAGCTGTTAAGCACAGCAGTCAGGAAATGTTTAAAGTGCTGAGAGAACATGTAGTGGAAAAGATCTATTGATTTCCTCTCTTGTGTAACTTTATTCAAAAATTTGCTACTGGCCACTGCTGGAGATAAATTTAGAGACAGGTGCCCCTTTGGTTTGACCCACAAGGCAATTATCATTAATGACTACATTTTCACATGTTTTAAACCATCCACAGATCTCTTTATAAAAAGTTACATGAGAAGAGATGATAAGTTTTGTTAATGTCTGGTTCCAAATTAATTTTCTGAAGCCCTGTGGGGGATCATCACTCGCTGCCAGATCCCTCAGGGATTTCAGTTATGCCCAAGAACCCTCCCCCTCTGTTGTTACACTAAGTGCATGCTGCAGAGTTATCAGGAGCTTACAAAAACCACAGACATGGCTGAGAGCTTGTGAATGTAAAGAGACATTTCTGCACAGCCTGGGATTGTATCAGTTTCCCTTTCAGAAGAAAATGGCCTTATTCAGATAGAAAACCTTCAGTTGCTATTCTTAAGCTCTTAATTGACATGAAGACACCAGAGCTGAAATAAACCATAAAGTGTGTGCAGAAAGCTGTCACTACTGGCATTGAAACCTGCTCCAAGTCTGTAGCTGCTGTGATAATGATGCGTGGGGGTTATTCTTGGAATCAAAGGAAGTTATTGTTCCTGTTCCCAATCCGTGGAGCTGAAGCTTCAAGGCCTGTGCTAATTTAGATCTGTTTTTCTGAGTGGAGAATTGAAGCAAGGACAGCAGAGTTGCCATTAGTGACAGGTTACCTGTCTTGAAACTTTCAGCTTCTTATCTGATGTTTCTAAGAGCTGTCTCCAGGCAAAGAAGTGGAATAGCTGGTTCAGAGCTGTGCCTGATTAGCTCTCAGCATGGTGGCTTCAGTGGCCAGATGTTCTTAGAGAGGATGTTTTCTGAATTCTGGTATCAAATTATTGATGCACAAGAACACTAGAAGAGGTGCAGTAGTGGTTACCTGCATGGAGAGAGAGAAGGCTTCAGACCCAACCTCATATTAATGACAGTTAAGTTGTTTTGTCTGCCTGTTAACCAATTTTGTTGTTTGTACAGATAAGGTCAAGAGCTAAGATAGAGAAAATTCGAGCCAGTCTCTTCAATAGCAGTGATCTCATTGGTTTGTCAAGCCTGGATGGTGAAGATGAACTGATGGAAATGTCAACTGAAGAGATTTTAACTGTTTCTACTGTAAATCAGAGCTTATTTGACACACAAGGGAGCCCAGCACTAGAAGATTATTTCAATGATAAGTCCATAAAAGGTACGTGGGTTTCATCCTGGCAAATACCTCACTTGTACCTTGTTTATTTTTCTGGGGGATGTACAGGGGTCAGATTCTCCTTGCTGCCATGAATTCAGTGTGACTCATGGGTGGGTGACAACGAGGGGGAGCCAGGAAGTCATTTCAAATCAAGTTTCCTCCCTCTCATCTGTTGGCAAGCAGCTCTTTGCAATCTGAGCATTGCTCAGCTGTCCTCACAGCTGATCAAGCAGTTAAAAAAAATAAAGAATTTAAGGAAAAAAACCACAACCACCTAAAAAACTGCCCACCAACCCAAAAAACTACTAAGTCCAGTGACTTGTTTGGAGAAAATAGCCACTGTAATAACTTACAACTGTTAGGAAAACCTAAATTTAGAGTAGAAACTGTTCAGACAGAACATTTGGTGATTTTATGTTCTTGAACAGCAAAAAAGCTGCACAAACCCTAATCCACCTGGGATGGGCCAGAATCCTGAATGGAGGGCCAGGGGAGGGTAATAATTGGAAGAAGTTCAGTTGACTACTGGTTCAATTGACAGGTATCATTGTGTACCTACACAGCCTAATTTTTATCCTGGCATCATAAATAATTCTTTCACTGCAGTCACTCAGCTAACAATAACACTATATTGCCAAAACAGGAGAAGACACTTAACCCTCTATTGTAAATGGGGTATTAGAGTGTAGGAATTTCAGGTCTGCTGTAGAATGTTTCTGAATGATTTTTATTCTCCCAGAGGAAGTAGCATGTCTTAGAATATTTTGTTGAATGCAAAATGGTTTTTAACATTTCAAATACTCAATGGTTGTCATGGTATTTTGTACTATATTAGGTGAGAAATTGGTCCCAGGTGCTCGGGAAGTCCTGACAGAAATATTTAAGAGCTGTGTCCATTCAGAGCAAATGCTGAGCCTCACTCCAGCAAAACCCATTAAGGTTGCTGACATCTATCTCAGTAAAGAGCAGATCAATTCTCAGACTCCTGGAAACCTCCTTCATGTGTTCTTCACAAACGTCCGCCCTCCAAAGAAGGTGCTGGAGGACCAGCTTACTCAGGTAGTGCTTTAAAAACTCTTTTCAGCATCTTTTTTGTGTATCTTCAAAGCATTGAGTAACAATTCACTTTCTGTGTTGGAAGATTTTAAGGAAATATGGTGTACCCAAGCCAAAATTTGACAAGAGCAAGTACAACAAGGCAGGCAAGGAACAGCATCCAGTGAAAGTTGTGAGCACCAAGCGCCCAGTTACCAAACCTCCTACCAAGGAGAAGTCCATGCTCAATAGTGTCAGGTTGGTGTCTTCAGCCTTTTAACAGTAGCAAAGCTACTCTCTAGGAACCCAGATTTTTATTCCCCATCCAATATTTTGGATTGGAAGAGGGAAATGGAACTGGGAGAACAAGAAATGTTTTTGGTTTCTTGAAGAGACAAAAGTAAACTTTCATCCTAACATTCACTTTGTCCCTTTAGCCGAACAGCCTTAAGTGAGAAGAAACCTACTGTAAAGCCAAAATCTCCTGAGAAGAGCAAACCTGAAGAGAAGGACCCTGAAAAGTCCCCCACAAAGAAACAGGAAGGTAGGAGCTGCATAGAATTTTTCTAGAGCTTTACATTCTAGAAAAGAAACACATTTTGTATTGACATGTTTTTGTTATGTCGTGATAGATTTGGGGTTTTAAGGTGGCTAACTTGATTTTTTTAAAAGAGTGATTTAAAATGCTGGTTTTATTTGTATATCCATGAATCTGAACATCTCCATGTAAGTGAGAACAAAACTGTGCATAGGCCAGGTGAATACACTGGGCAGAGAACTGACTTCCTAAGAGGTTTAGTTTCAAGACCTTTTTTGTACAGTGGAAGATTAGGGGTTGAAGTAGGTGGTTTTAAATCATGTTTCTCAACTTACATAGGAAAATCATTAAGTTACAAGAGGAGAATGGGACGAAAGAGAAGCTTCAGATGCCTCATAACTAGTCTATTCCTGGAGGAGACAGCACAGCCATGCCGTGACAGGGGTTAGTTCCAGGGTCTGGATTATTCCTCTCTCTAGTCAGGTTGGAAGAGTGAATAGACATGAGCTTGGAGTCTGCTCTTCACAGTAGGAAATGCCAGGTTAGTTCAGAAGAAGGGAGTTTCAGCATTCAGCCAAGTATGGATCCCTGCTTAGATGCATTGGTGGAGCTGTTCTAGGGGGCAGCTGGGGGACTTGTGTCCTTGAGAGGGAAGGATGAGTGCCACTTGCTGACCTCAGCAGCGTGATGCTTCAAACTCCTCAAAAACCCAACCATGGTGGGATGAGTAGAACCAGGAGGAAGCTGGCAGGCAGCCACCTCACACACCAACTAGTTTCCTGTGTGGTGTGCAGGCTTTACAGTCAGTCTCTAACTCTGTGCTGGTCATATCTTTGCTGTCAGTTCCTGAGGAGAAGTATCTGACGCTGGATGGGTTTCACAGATTCGTGGTTGACCGATCTAAGCAGGACATCCGTAGTGTCTGGAGAGCTATCCTGTCCTGTGGATATGATCTGCATTTTGAAAGGTAAACTTTGCAAATCTTTATCTAAAGGTGATGCTGATTAGTTGTGCTCACTCAGAAAAAAAACTTGACCCCAAGTGTTCTGGCTCCAGATAGCTCTAATCAGTTTGTTAGTAACGCACAAACTCCTGCCTGTGGCTCCAAGGTCTGTAGAGAAAATTCCACACTGGTTGTTTTCTTAAAACATGTTTTAAAAGAGTCACTGTGCTGTCAAAGTGCAGACTTTCTTGTGCACAGCATATCTAAAGAAATCATACACCATACTGTCCTCTGTAGCTTCCAAAATGTGTACTAAATAGCTCTACAACTCTCATCAGGCCAATCTGGCTGTCTCTGGTTTCCTTCCACAGCAGCTCTCCACTCCATGAACTTGGTAATTGTTTAACCTGGCAGGTTTGTTACAGGGTCAGTAGCACTGGAGAAGAGGGAACAGTTACTTCCTTGTTAATATTGTACAGGAAGAAAGTCCCTTAAATGAATCCTCCTTATCTCCCTGTGTTAAGCCACGAGCTAATTCCCACATCCCCTTCCCCTATATCAGCTCCAGAGCATACAGAAGATAGTGCAGTACCTAAGCTTAACAGCAGTTCCTGTTTTTCCTTGTTATTTAATACCAGTGATAACTATTTTTTCCATGTTATTTAATACCAGGTAGGTGATAAAACAGTTCTTATTCTCAAAGTGGATTTTTTGGTAATAAAACAGCTCTGCTGAGAGAAGTAAAAAAGGGGAAGACAACTGGTGTTGTGCTGGACGTGCTCTTAGTAAGTTAGGTGCTCTTAGTGAGCAGTGGTACAGTCAGGTTGCAACAGGTCTTGTGGCTCTGACCTTTCAGGTGTGCCTGCATTGATGCAAGACATGCTCAGAAAGCATCCCGAAAGTGGACCCTGGAGATGGACGTGGCCCTGGTCCAGTACATCAACAGGCTCTGTCGTCACCTTGCCATCACACCAGCACGACTCCATCCCCATGAAGTTTATTTGGACCCAGCTGATGCAGCAGATCCCAGAATTTCCTGTCTGTTGAGTACGTATAGACTGTTTGCAGAGGGGCTTTCTTCAGTGGAAGAGACAGGTAGTGCTCCTGAAGGAGCTGGCTGTCACATGGGTAGTTGGGACATCCCTTTGGAGGCTGCAGGTGGGAGCCTCTGTGGGCTGAGGGAACACTGGGTTTGGGTCATCTCCCTCCTGGGGTGTGCTTGGGCACCATGGTGTCTTTGGCAGCACTGTTAGAGATGCACTGCAGCTGTTCTCTGCTCTCCAAGCAGACCTCCTGCATCAGGCTGGAGCATGAAGATACCTGATAGGTTCAGCTTGCAGGGGAAAGGAGATTCAATTTCTGAATTTCAGTTCTGGTCCTAGGCAGACTTGAGTCACCTAATCCTTGTTCTGAGCACAAAGTTCCTTTCAGAGGGTCTCTAGATAAGGCAGATGCAGTGATGATGAAAGACTCTGGACTGAGACACCCAGAGACTGGAGATCTGAGAAGGAACATCACAGACCACGCCTGGTGTTGCATCTTTAGCCCTCCTGTTGATGTGCAGGGGCCAGGAGGGGCTGCTTTAGAGGGAATCTCGTGTGTCTCCTGGACAGAATCTGCTGGTTAGATGGACTTTGCAGGAGGCAGGGAACCTCTTCACCTCTCTGACCAGATGTTTCCCCCCTCAGACGTTCCAGTGGAGAGCCTGCGGCTGCGGTTTGCGCTGCTGCAGTCCCTCAACACCACCCTGGAGACCTTCTTCCTGCCTCTGGTGGAACTCCGGCAGACGGAGATGTACGCCAACAGCATCGCTGCCTTGCTGCAGGAGGCCAAAGGTCAGCCTCTCAGGGAGCATGGGCTCAGCCTGAAAGGGTCACTGGGCACCACACTGAGCTCCTGGGCGTGTTTCGTGGGTTGTATCAACAAGCAGCAGGTCGAGTGATAGTCCCAGGATGTGTTGGCATCCTTGTGATCATTGAAGTAGGATTAGAGAGATCAAGAAAACACTTACCCTGCATCAGCGTTTCAAACAGTTGTTACAAGCCTTCATTAGGAAACAAACCCAAGATTTGGGTCATTCCATTTCCCTAACTTGTTTTTTTATGAAGTTACAGAAAGCACCAAAGATATCAGTGTGGGTAAGCAGGGGTTATACTGGCCCAGCTAGAAAAAAACCCTTGTAAACCCAGTATGGGGAAGTGGGGAATGTTCAGGGATTTGCCTTTCACAGAGCCTGTATTTGTGGTGCAATGTGAGAGGCCTGATTTTTATCATGTTTTCTTGCCTCTAGCATTACTGTCAAAACATCTCGGATTTCTGAAAGCTATTTGGCAAAGTGTTTCTGATTTACAGAGATTCTGGTGGAGTTGCCTAGGTCTATTTATGTAACATCAGAGTTGTGTTCATCACTGTTCTAACCTAATGCACTTTTACAGTAAACATTGGTAACAAATACTTTAACAGGAAAATTAGTGTGGACTAGCCACATCTTACCTACCTAATGGAGGTGAAATGATTCTTCTACCCTTGTCTGTTAGAGAATTTCAGGAAATAAAGTTGTAGAAGGATAGTTTAACTAGGCTGAAATGTGTTTCTTGATTTAGGTTTAATCTTCTACGACACAAAAGTAACAGTCATGAACAGAGTGCTGAATGCCACAGTCCAGAGAACTGCTGATCATGCAGCCCCAGAGATCACCCTGGATCCCTTGGAAATCGTTGGAGGTAGGGACAGCATCGACCCTTTCCAAAATCTATTTGAATCCCTCACAAGCTCAGGTGCTTATTGATGCAAAATACTCACGAGTGGGGGGATTTCATGGGGTTTTTCCTTTTGTTTTCAAACAGGGGAGATCCGTTCTTCAGAGAACTCTTATTTCTGCCAGGCAGCCAGGCAGCTGGCCTGTGTGCCCTCCTCACAGCTCTGTGTCAAGCTGGCCAGTGGGGGGGACCCCACCTATGCCTTCAACATCCGCTTCACCGGCGAGGAGGTCCATGGCACCAGTAAGTCAGGCT